TTTTGAGACCATCTGTGGGGGTTACATTGTCTGAAACTGACAAGAGATCATGGCAGATGGTGAGGTCACAAAGATTGACTTTTTGAGCTTGACATAATGTGTTCATGAAGGTGGAAGAAGAAATCCGATTTATGTTTTTAACCAACAGAAAACTTGGTGGCTGGAAGAAATGTCCAATTGTTGAGTCTGGATAGAATGTAATGCATCAGTGCACATGACCGGTTTATCTTTGAGAATCACCAGTACTGCCCAAGATGGCAATTTCTTGAAACATTTGCTGCCATGTTTATTTACTTTCTAGACACTTGGTTTAAGTCACATATTGCAAATAATTTTTAGTTAAAGACAATGTAAAAGAAAGACGAAAGCTTTAAAAATGCTTAGACATGTATATATTTTTTAAATTAAAAAGTTATAAGCTGTCAGCCAAAGCCAACACAGTATACTTCATTTTTAATTGAATGAAGCCAAGTTCACTGTCACAATCCCATTTCTTTTTGTAACATTTATGTTAATGTAATTTTATATAATTTAAATTACATTTGAAGGTTTATGCTTTACTGTTTCTCTAATCTACTAGGATGTCTCTGGTACCTTATGATAGTGGGTGTTCAGTGTTTGCTGGATGAATAAATAAAGTAATAGATGAAGCTATTGCCTGCTCCTGTCAATTTTAGGAGAGTTTTTCTTAACCACAGCAAAACACTTTTTTCTTGTTTTAGGATTTATGCTGTGACTTCTATAATTCACTTCTATGTGTGAATTATGTATTATTTATTTTGGAGGAAGAAACCTTTATTGTCATAAATCAGTGAACTGCTTTTTTCCCTAACATTGAGTGCTAACCTTGTGCTAGGCAGTGTCTTAATAATTTTTCATGACTTGGCTCATTTAATTAAGTAGATACACTGTTACTGTTTTGCAGATGAAGAAATAGAGGCACAGACATGTTAAGGTCGATTTGCTCAAGAAACTCATGCACTTTGGCTCTTTTTCAAACATTTATCATTTCAGTGACATTTAGAGGTTCCAATTTGTGCTAGCTCTGGCGAGATGATACAAAGGGAATACTAAACAAAATTATGTTTTGTCAAGCTCATTAATGTGACTAAGCAATATTTTTATTGGTAGCCTATTGCTATACTGTGCTGAAATAATAACACTCTGTTATGCTACTCAACAGCACAGCCCTTAGGAAATATAATACCATATTGAATACTGAATATTCAATATAGTAATAAAGTAGATGCATGGAGACAAGCAGCTCTAGCCATTACAACCATTCTCTGGGCGTGAAGAAATGGGGAGAAAGGAAAAAGGACATTTGTTAGCCAAATCTGGTAGCCCAGCCCAACAATGTCTGCCTATATTTAATTGGCTAGAATTCCATCATATGGTCAGCCTCTCTGAGGGGGAGACTGAGAAGGTGGTATTTTTTAGTTGGGCACATTGCCACTTTCAGTTTCTCCTAAGGAAGAAGAGAAAAATGATACTGGGTAGGCAATAGTGTCTGTCTTGGATAGACCTAGCAGGTTTCTAAAATTTTAACAGGTATTTTGGATGGAAATGACTTTATTGTTTTTTGTTATGACTACCTTTCAGTAGGTCATTAGGTAATCTGAAAAATATTTAAAATTGATTTTTTTTGTGGTTAGGAGGATTTCGTGTTTATGTGTAAACTGGAGGGCATTTGGCACATTGACTTGGTGGGTTTGATGATTTTTCACTTCCATTGTATCTACTTTACTCCTAACACAACCTGAAAATCTTGGTATACCCACTTTTCTGATGAGGACACTGAACCTCAAAGAGGTTAAGTCACATAGCTAATTAAGTGTCAGAGCTGAGATTGCCTAAATTTAAAAAAAAAAAATCAAATCTATCCGGGCCAGCCAAGTGGCGCATTGGTTAAGAGCTGGCTTGGGATGCCAGAGGGCCCCGGTTCGGATCCCACATATGAGGGCCAGTGACACTGCCCTCTACAGCTAAGATGCTGAACAACAGCTCAACCTGGAGCTGGGCTGCCGTGAGTCGCGACGGCGTGGGCTGCAGCCCCTGCTGCAGTGGGTTGCATGGGCTACTGTGTGTGGCCAGCAGCCAGCGTGAGCGGCCACTGGCCGCTGTGAGCAGCTGTCCAGAAGCCGGCGACTGGTCTGCTTCACCCGGGAAGAGCGCAATGATGGTGCCAACTTGGGCCAGTGAAGCAACGTCCTCCACAACTAGACTGAAGAACAAAATGACAGCAACTTGTCTGTTCCCCTTCCCCCAATTCCCCAGCGCTGTTCCCATCCCCCAATTCCCCAATAAAAATCTTAAAAAAAAAAATCCATGCACTTTCCACTTTGCTAACAATGCTACTTTATTAGAGGAGTACTTCAAGCAAGACACAGAACTAGTTATTTTGATTTTTTTTCTGTTTCATTAGTTCTTGCTCTTTCATTTCTTCTTTCTTTGAGCTCCCACTGATCTTTTTAAGTTGCTTAATGAATGAAAAGAAATGTAAATTTACCTCTAAGTACTATTTCAGCTGCACTTTACACGTTTTATTATTTTCATTGTCATTCAGTTCTAAATATTTGAGATTTCCTTAATTCATGGATTGTTTGAGCAATAATATATTTTTCTAAATATATGACTTTTAACTTCTTAAAAAAATGACTAATTCCTAATTTAATTGCATTGTGATCAGAGACCATAAGCTGTATAGTATTGCCTATTTGAAATTTGTTACTACTTTGGTGATTTTATTTGAGGACAAATTTTGTAAATATGATTTTAAAGGGATGTTTCATATCTGTTAGGTACAGAATTTTATGTAGATCTATTAGATCAAGCTTGGTTGAAATATTAATCTTCAAAATGAAGTACTTATATTTTAGCCTTAAATTCTTAGTTTTAATAATGTCAGGTAGTTTGATGAATGGGATATCAGGAACTTGTGCTTTATTATTTATTTCATATTTATAATACTGAAGAGGAAATAAATAATTGATGAATGTAAAACAGTTCCACTGTAGGAACTTGATTTTCATATTAGGTCATGATAGACATTGTGAACAAATCTGCAGCTATAGTCAGAAAGTGAAAATCAGAATTATAGTTCAGGTATTACTTGGATTTTTAAATTTATGTTTTCTTTATCATTGAAAAAGCATAAACTTGGTGTTTTATTGAAAACTACAAACATCTCTTTTTTCCACAAAGTTTTACTTTTGGATTCAAATTCTAGTATACGAGTATAATATAGACAATTTGGAGCTTCCATTTTTTTCAAGCCCCTACTTTTTATGGTCTTTTCAAATTAAGTTTTATTTTATCCTTCCCCTTGAATGTCTTATTAAAGTTTTAATTTTGAAATCATTTTAAGAGAAAAGTTGTAAAAATGGGGCAAAGATCTCCTGCATACCCTTTACCCAGATTCCCCAGTTGTTGTCAACATTTGGCACATACACTTTATTATTCCCACTTTTTCTATGTATACAGATTATACCCTTTTTTCATCATTTGAAAGTAAGTTGCTACTGTCATCCTTTCCACTCCTAAATATTTTGGTGTATTTTTTCTAAGAACAAGGACACTTACTTAAAACAAAACAACACAATTCTGTGGTCAAAAGCAGGAAATGTAACATTGAAACAATACTGTTATCTAGTCTGTGGACTATATTTTCTCCAATTGCCCCAATAACGGTCTTCATAGAAATTTTTTTTTTGGGGGGTCCAGCGGCCAGTCCAGGATCATGGGTTGAATTTAATTTTCATGTGACTTTCTTAGGCTTCTGTTTTCTTTTATGACACTAACATTTTTTAAGAATTCAAGCCATTATTTTACAGAATGCCCCTTTATTTAAATTTCTCTAATATTTCCTCATAATTAGAGTTAGAGTATGCATTTTGGGTGGAAATACCTAGGAAGTGATATTCTATCCATTCAGTGCACTTGAGATGCAGATGTTGGTTTGTCCCATTGTTGGTGGTCATTTGGTAGCTTTGATCATTTTGACTAAAATGGTGTGTGTCAGGTTTCTTCGCTGTAAAATTTGAATTAATATGTATTTTGTAGGGAGATATTTCAAGATTATGTAAATATCATTTTTCTCACCAGCTCTCATCTACTGTTTTCAGCATCTATTGATTATTCTTGCCTAATAAGTTACAGAAAACCACAAATTGGTGGGTTTTGAAGTGTATCAGTTCTTTATATTTATTAGTTGGCATTATATTGCAAAGAAGAGCTTTCCCTTCTTCCTTGTTATTTGTTTATATCAGTATGGTCTCCTGGAATACTATTTTTTTCAGTGGGTTGGTTGGTTGGTTGGTTTGTTTGTTTATTTATTTATTTATTTATTTATTTATTTATTTATTTATTTATTTATTTTAGCTGAGCCATCCTGCCACCTGTTGGCAGCTCAGCTCGGGCCGGGAATTGAACCGGCGACCATGTTGCTCAGAGCTCATACTCTTCAGTGAGCTCTTAACCAACTGAGCCACTCGGCCGGCCCTCAATGGGTTTATAGTCTGCTATAACCTGTTAATATTATTATATATTTTGGTGCTCAATTGTCCAGTTGTAGGCCCTTTAAGCTGGCTCCTGTATACTTTAGATATGGCTCCATCATTTTTTGAGCCCTTCCTTACTTTAGGTACAATAAAATGTTCTAGATTTATCTTGTACATTTCCTGCCCCAGCCCTGGAATTTGCTGTTTCTTCTAGAAGCCCTGGCTTCTTTCAGTGGGTTGTCTAAAGCAACATAGTATAATATTTCAAACTCAGGCTCTATCACTTGTTAGCTGAATGAACTGAGTTGATTTAACCTCTCCAAACCCTAATGTTTATCTGGAAAGTGAGGATTGAAATGGTATATATTAGGTATATATATGAATTATACTTTAGATACTTCACAAAAAAAGAACAATGTATGTCGCATATAGTATGACACAAATGTTGCCAATTATTATTATTATTACATTATTATTCCCTCTTTTTTCCTTTTTTAACAGGATGTTCTTTTAAAGAATTATTGAAGACAAAGTTTTTTTATTTTTGTTTTTTAATGGCTTTACAGAATTTTAAATCGAATATAATTTGACATGACGGCAAAAAATGTAAGTATTTGTAAATTTTTAAATGTATTTTTAATGTGAGCTGTACTTTTTCCTGCAATATTTTTTTCACCATTCCAATTAATCAAATTCAATTTACTGGCATTAATATATAATTGTTTTTGTTTATGCAAAGACTAGATAGTAAACTTGACTGCTATTAAATATAGTATTCATATGGGCATGGTAGCATTCTTATAAATTGCTGCCAAGTTACTCCTTCTCGACAGCTGCAAAATTGGTATTTCTATAAAGTTTCCCACCTGGCTCCTTTGCTGGGCACTGTAATAAATTTGTTTTAGTACTTGCCGGGGGAGTTCCTTGGCCCTAATGAGAAAAATCACTATTTTCTTTGGTTTAGTTTTTCTTTTGGTTTTACTCAGGAAAATGTGTATATTCAGATGTTGTTCAGAAGAAGCTTGCTATCCTCCGTGACATTATTCCTGAGGGGACATTAGACCTTAGATATTTGGGAGAAGTTATTCAATTTTTTATTTTGCTGGGAGACTATCATTCCTGAATCTACTTCCTTTCAGGTTACATTCTCATTGTTACCCTGTGTTAGTGCATTTGTTTCCAGTTATGGTGAAGGATTATGCCAGAAAATAAACACTAAAACATACAAGGAAATAACTTACTGTAATTACTTTACAGTTCCCAGATTAGTATGTTGGGACCTTTGATGACAATTTACAGAAACAAGCTTAGAGTACCTTAAACAAAAAGAGGATTTATTATAAAGATTCAGGGATGTCTCAAGGAATTCAAGAGTAGGAATTTAGTGGGGCCTCAGATAGATCTGGGTCCAGGAATTTGTAATCTACCAGGATTTGAGGCAGTATTTGGTTTGCATTTCTCATTTCTGCTCGTCTCTCTGCATCTGCTTCGTTACTCTGTCTCCCTGCAAATCATGGTCCTCAGTTTTCCAGTCAGCATCTCCATCTACTCATACATGTGACCGAACCAGCCTGTTCAGAAAGAGAGAGAAGTGTAGAGAGAGGGAGGCGGCCTCACAGACTCTGTCTGCCTATGCCCGCTCCCATTTCAGACTCCCTGGGAAGCACCCCTGGCACTGCTCAAGTCTCAGATCCGCTGGTGGTTTGTTTATTTGTGACCAGGAGAAACAAGCATAATATTGAGTTAAAAAAGGTCTCCCTGTGATCCAGACAAATAGTTCTAAACACAACCCATTATACATCTAAAGGAGAGCTTTTTTTTTTTAGAGAAAGAAACCCTAATTACTTATCTCTGTTTTCCTGTGATTAACCTTGCTTTTAACATGCATTAGTAGCTGTAAACAGGTATAGGTTATGCTTCATTAACATTTAATTAATTTTGTTAGGATAAATTATCAGGCATACATAGTCTGCTTTAATCTAAGACTCTTGTATACATATTTGTTAAAGTGCTGTTTGGAGAAAAGAAGCAGCAGAATTTTAGTCTGTTTTGGGAATTATCTGGTAGGATATTACCTTGATTTTTTCTCCTTTGAAAACAAGGGGATGTAAAAGTTATCCTGAGCAGCAAGATGATTAACACTTATTTTTATTTTTTATTTTTTATTTTTTTAGCTGAGCCTTCCTACTACCTTTTGGCAGCTTAGCGGCAGCTCAGCTCGAGCTGGGCATCGAACTGCTATTGCTCAGAGCTCAAACTCTTGAGTGAGCTCTTAACCAACTGAGCCACTAGGCTGGCCCAATATGATTAACATTTAAATAGCAAGTATATTTTGGTTTGTATATTGTACCTTGAGTCAAATGTAATCTTAACCATATGTACAGTTTGCTATATAGTAAAAGTTTCCTGACAGTACCATCAAGTATTTGAACCAGTATTAATTATACTCCCATTATTTTGTCTATATGTTTGGGAAAAAATCAAACAATGAGCAACACGTTTTTCCTTCTGCTATAGCAACCTAGCAGGAGAGGGATAAGTGATGAGCTGACCCTCTTATACGCTGGAGTTAGTGGAGAGATCAAGTCTCAGACTGTGCTGAAGCATGTGGGAAAGAATTAAAATAGGCCATCTGAAAGCATCCAGTCAAGTTTACTAGCCATTCTGCAGTAGGCAAGCACATTTTTGTGACTTTTTAATATGTTTTTTCAAGGTACTCACCAAAAGGATTATCCCAGTTCACAATGCCACAAGCAATTCGTTCTCCTCTTTCACTTCCTCGCCTTTCTCCCACATGCATATGTGCCTGGCAGTGTTCTAGGACTCTGCCTTCTTGGGGCTTACAGTGTAGTGAGAGACAATAAATAATTATAATATAATGTCAGGTAATGATAGATGTTATGAAGAAAAATAAAACAGGGTAATAGGAGAGAGAGTGATGGGGATGAGGGAGTGCTCCTTCATCTAGGTGCTCAAAAGAGTCCTCTTTAAGGAAATGACAGTTAGACAGAGCAGTGCTCTTGAGTCTCAATCCAAGAAGAAGCCAGCCATGTGTCTACCTGGGCAGAGAGCGTTCCAGGTAGAGGCAGGAGAAAGTGTGGTTGTTCAAGGAGCAGCAAGACGATCTGTTTATAGATGGAAACAGTACCCTGCAAAGGAGAGTGGTGGAGATGAAGTCTGAAAGGAAGCAGGAACCAGATATGTGGAGCCTTGAAGATTGGGGCGAGGGCTGTATATTGTAAATAACAGTGAGGAGCTATTAGAGGTTTTGAGGATATTTGCGTGACCTGACTTAACATTTTTAAAAGTTTGTTCTGGCAGATGAGTGAATAGACTGAAGAGGAGCATAGTAGAAGCAGGCACTTGTTTGGTACTTATCCCAGTAGTTCAGACAGCAGATGGTGGTGATTTGGGCTGGGCTAATGATATCAGAGATGGGGAAAAGTGGCTGGATCCAGGATGTATTTAAAGGGACAGTCATCAGCACTTACTGAGGAACTGGGATTTGAGGACAGGGAGGAAGTTAAAGACTTCTTAGTGTTTAACTGGGTAAATGGCTGTGCTGTTTAATGAGAAGAGGAACTCTTGGGGAAGTGCAGGATTCTGTGACAAACTCAAAAACGGTTTTGAATATATTAAAGTTGAGGGCCCTAACAAATCCAGGCAGAGATTCTGGCTAGACAGTTTGATAAATGACTGGAGCTCAGGGGAAAGCTTGGGGCTGAATATACCGTATTTGCCGGCGTATAAGACGATTTTTTGGCCCTGAAAAATATGCCTCCAAGTGGGGGGTCATCTTATATGCCAGGTACACTTCAGATAGACTGCCCATAGTGCTTGCCCCGTGCCATAGTGGCCTCCCGATGCCCGCCCACTTCATTCCAAATACCGTTCAGGCATCAGCAGCGCTGCTGGGTGTATGGTCGGCTGTGTGCGATTTTGTGAGTGTGGTAAATTCGGGTTACCCTATATTTCTTTACATATGCATTGAAGATTCGCGATTTTGCGCTATCATGGTGCCTGTTAGAATGTTGAAGAGCTCGCACTTGCGCACTAGTGAGGTCCCAGGGAGATGCTGATGCAAGGGTGGACCAGACTGCTATAGTGACAGGGCGGGCAAACAGGGAGCAGGTACCAATCAAATCAGGCTTTGTATACAGCCAACAGCCAACCACAATACTGCACCCTTGTACAGTACAGCATAGAAAATGTCGACCAGTCAAACCCCTATCATCCCTATCATGGCACCAGCCAAAAGAAAGAAGTATGATGCAAATTTTAAACTGAAAGTTATAAACTTTGCTAAGGAAAATAATAATTGTGCTGCTGCAAGACAATATGGAGTAACAGAAAAGATGGTTCGGGACTGGAAATCAAATGAGAAAGCATTAAAGAGTATGCCAAGGGGTAAGTGTGCCTTAAGAAGAGGCACCCCACACTGGCCAGAACTCGAAAAACATGTAGCAGACATGGTGACTCAACATCGCCAAAACGGTTATGTGGTGACACGAAATACAATACGCTTGTTTGCACTTCAGTGGGCCAAATCAAATCTGATATTGTTTTACCTTTTATTTGGTGTGTGGAAGGTGTGCGGAAGAGGGGGTAGTCTTATACTGCGAGTATATAACAAACTCTGTATTTTGAGTGGAAATGTTAGGGGGTCGTCTTATACGCCCAGTCGTCTTATACGCCGGCAAATACGGTAGATAAAATTGTGGAGTCATTTTATATTAAATTATTTTAAAGCATGGGACTGCATGAGGTTATATAGTAAATTCATGGATAGAGAATGCATGAGGACCAAGGTATGAGCACAGGGGTTCTCCGACATCTAGGGAGGAGGAGAAGCAAAGGAGGTTCAAGGAATGGCCAGAAAGGAAGGCGGCAGTGTTAATTCTGATGATCGGGAAGCCAAGCGACGGAAGTGTTTCAAGAAGGTGGGAGTGATCAGTTGTGTCACATGTCACTGGGAAGTGACTCAGATATGGAAGAGATTACCCAGGTCTCATGGAGGCATCATTAAACATATATTCAGATATTTACATCTTTATTTTTTGTTTCCTATTTTGTGCTTCTCTTTTCAGACCAGTTTTTTGTGTAGTTACTTTTGCTTTATCCATGCCATACTGCATCTCTATGGTTCCAAGTGATAGAATGCCTATTCAAAATAGTTTAAGGCAAAAAGTGGAATGTATTGGTTCACATAACTGAAAAGTCTGGAATACTGTGGCTTCAAACATCTGGATTCAGAGGATCAAAGATGGTGTCAGGGCTGTTTCTCTATTTCAGTCTCTTGCTCCTATATGGTGGCTTAATACCCTGCATTGGCCTCAGAATGTTTACCTCAGAAGAAGAGAAGGAAGTTTTCTTGTTTAGTATTTATATTTCATATTCCATGGAGAAGCATTCGTTGACCATGCTTGGCCCACATGCTGAGACAAGCCAGTGTGGAGAAGGAAGTGGGGTACCATCAGTGGCAAGCTCTGGGTCAGGGTCTGCTTCTGCCATGGCACAACTGAGGCTGTAAGACTACCAGTCCTACCGGAACCACATAGACTGTGGGATGGATCATTTCATAAAAGGAAGTTCTGTAGAGCTGGCAATATATTCATCATGTCTGGGATAAAATTTTTACCAAATACCATCTCGTATCCCATGATTCTCTTCTAGACCCAAAACGCAGGTGTGTTCTAACTTAAGCTCACTCAGTATACAATAAAGAATTTGAAAGTAAATTTGAGGTACAATTTTTTTTTTGCCTTGTCAAAGAATCTTTTTAAAAATGCATAAGCCGTAATACTCATTACAGATGAAGAAAACAAACTAGCCTAAAGATTATCAGCAAAATTTTGCCTAACAAGACATCTGGTATATATATACACACAAATGTATATACATGTGTGTGCGTATGTGTGTGTGTATGTATATATATATATATATATATATATACATACACACACATATATATATATATACACACACACATATACCAAATGTATGCATGTTATATATTTTTTAACCAAAATGAGATCATACCATTTTGTAACCTATTTAGCTTAATCTCTATGATGATTGTCTTGTCTTGAGATCTTTGCCAACATTTTAAATGGCTGTTTTGTGTTATCTATGTATTGTATGGACATTACACCAGTTTCCTAATATTGGCAGTTATTTCCATTTTTTTTCTTTTTAAATTTTTGGTTTATTTTTGCTTACTCATTGGATTATTTCCATGAAACAGAGTCTTATGAAATTACTGGCTCAAAAGGTGTGTGCTTTTGGGGGCTTTTGATTCATATTGCTAAATTGCATTTCAGAAAGACTGTACCAATTTATATATTCATCAGTGATGTATAAGAATGCCATTTCCATATATTTTCTCTTTAATCTTTGCTAATCTAATCAGCAAAATGGCATGTGATTTATTATGTTTTCTCTGATTTATAATTAGGTCAAACTGGTATTCTGTGTTTATTGGTCATTTGCATTTCCCTTTTATGAATTGTCTGTCATTGTCAAAGTGTTAAAAGCCATTTCCATTTGAATAGCAATCCACACTTGACTATCGCATTTCTGTTAACAGACCTGATCACGTAATTATTTACTTTGATCCGAGGAGCTCTCTGAGTTTGCTGTACACATATGTATTGTCATCCCCATTTTGCAGTGACTGTTCCAAGATCACCTTGCTTGTGAGCTGAACTTTGAGCACAGATCATCTCAGTCTGAATTTTGTTTTCTTTCAGTTATGTCAGTCTGAAATGTTAAATATCAATAAAAGTATAATGCTGTTATTAGGGAATATGGTTTGATCTTTAAGAATTGGATTTGGATATTTTTTATTCAATAGACATTTAGTGATCGCTTATAGTATGCAACACAGAGATAGAACACTTTTCTCAGGACCTTATTAGATGAAAAAATTTACATAAAATGAATTCACTTTTTCACTAGCTCTGTGAAACATTATTGAAATATCCTTTTTAAATAGATAGAATAAGGAAAGAATAACATTTTTAAATGCCTTTCCTAGCCACCTTTTTCTACTCTCAATCTACTTTTTCTTTGAGTCTTTAAACTGTGAAGTGTTTATGAAAGCAGAAATTAATACATTATTGAGTTTAATTAAATACATTTTTGGTAGTATTTATGGAAGTTCTAAATACAAACACTTTCCCTCTATCTATGAGACCAAAATTAACATACTTTATTGACTCATAATTGACTTTATGTTTTTAGAGTATAATTTGTTGGTTATTAAGCTGCAGGTGTACAGCTGTTTAAAAAGTTTTCAAATTCGTTTGCTGCTTCACTCTGCAGAAGTTGGACATTAGGAGCAGGTGTTTAGACATAACTGTAACCCAGTAACTGAACTCTCGACTGTGAATATGTGGTTTTAGTTGAGGTTTTTGCCGTTATCTTTGTATAATAACAAAAAGGTATGAACTGATGCTTTGGTTATTATAATAAATGTACTAAACGGCCACATTGTATTAAGCATGGAATATATTAAAGGCTGTCTTTGCCTTCTTTACTTTCTTTTTACAGTAGAACACCAACAGAAGTTTCGTGTTGCTCTTCTTTTTATAGCAGAAGTGTTTAAAAAGCAGAGGCATGTTAGTGATGCCACAGTAAACTTGTAGCATTTACAGATTGAACACTTAACATTAATGTTTGGGAACAACTCTGAGGATTCATGTAGTGGTAATTTATTGCAAATTTTGTTGCAAAGCGTTTTTGGGTTTTTTTTAAAGATTTTATTGGGGAATCAGGGAAGGGGAACAGACAAGTTGCTATCCTTTTGTTCTTCAGTCTAGTTGTAGAGGACACTGCTTCACTGGCCTACTTTGGTATTATCATTGCGCTCTTCCCTGGTGAGGCAGTCTCTTGCTGGCCATTGGACAGCCTCTCACGGTGGCTCACGGCATCTCATGGCAGCTCACGAAAGCTCACGCCCTCGGCCAGCCAGCCCCACTGCAGCCTGTGCTGTCGCCGGCGTATCACGGCAGCCCAGCTCCAGGTCGAGCTGTTGTTCAGCATCTTAGTTGTGGAGGGCGCAGCATCACTGGCCCTCATGTGGGATCCGAATCGGGGCCCTGCTGCTTAGAGCTGGTGTCCCAAGCCAACTCCTAACCAACGTGCCACTAGGCTGGCCCGCAAAGGGTTTACTTTTCTTCTAACAGAATACTTGTAAGAAGCTAGATAGAATTAAGTTCTACACAATTATCTCCATAGAATTAAGAAGCTATGTTTTAGATGTCTTCATCTCAGCTGTTGTCATAAAAATTTAATATTAGATGCTAGAGGTAGGTTTGTATTTGATGCAAGCCTATTACTTTTCCATAATGTGAATGATATGTAGGAATATTTCTGGTAACATATCTCTTGACAAAAAGAAACAAACACCTATTAGCAGAGCATTTGAATTAACAAATAATGAAATAATTAGGTCTTACATTATGCAATTGTAAAGTATCAAATGAGTGCATATGTAGAATATGATATATAATGTTAAAGCAGTGGGTAGTTTAACAACATAAGACAAGTGTACAGTTATAAAGTTATAAAGCTTTGTGTGCTTTAAAATCCTTTCAGTATAGTAGTACTTTGCAAGGATATTTGGAGTACCAAATTAGCAATGATGTGTCAAGATTATAAATCTACAGGGATTAATACAATAATATAATAGTAATAGTAGAATCACTGATTAGATGCTTGCTTTGTGTCAAATTTTTTAAAATGGAGAGGTTTTCTTTCTCCTGACTCTACAATAAATTGTAAAAACTCTGTTTGATGATACTACCATATTCAGCTCTGATTCCAAGTAGTCCAGTGGACAGCATGTTAAATAAAATAAATTGTCTAAATGTGAATTTACAAACACACTTGCAATAGGTAATCCCTCAAGTATCATCCACTAATAATAATGAATGTTAACATGGATTGAGCACTCTGTGCCAAGCACGTGCTATATGCTTTACATGAATTACCTTACTTAATCTTTCTAACCACCTGAATTGGTAAGTACTTCTAGCACCCTCCAATGTACACATGAAGAGTCTGCGGTATAGAGAGCTTGCTTATATGACTTGACCACGGCCACACACACAGTAGGTTTGATGAGACATAGTATGAATCTGAGCAGTTGGACTTGAGCCAGTGGACCTCACCTCTGCGTTGTGGTATTAACGGTCTTTATTTGACCCATTACATGTCATAAGGTTGAAAAGCATTATAGGCGGTGATTTTGAATAGTAAAAGTTAAGGGCAGCACTGAGGGTGAAATTTTTGTATAGCTACATGTTTTAAAAAAAAAACAGTAAAATCTGTAGACCTTTGTTCTGCTCATAAGTAACATTTTATTAATTTTTGCCTTAATCCGGGCAATTCATATTTTTCCCATTTCAAGCAATATGGCAACATTTTCTTTTTAATTCTACTCCTATAGTTGATATAATTAATATATTTTTGTGTGGCTATATTAATATTTGATATGGACCTCTGGTAGAAGGTATAAAATAGCTTATTAAATGATCATTAATACTTAAGATCGTCTTTTTAACTTTCAAAACTTATTTTATTCAGGTTGGTTTGAGTTCCACAAATGCAGAACTAAGAGGATTTATAGATCAGAATCTCAGTCCAACAAAAGGTAAGGACCGCTGAGTAAAAATATTCTACATTCAGCTAGTTTTATTGCATTTTATAAAACATGAAGCTATATGAATTACTTTATGTATAATAATATTTATATACTATTACTCTGTTGTGTTATCATATGCCAAATAACTTGTATCATATGAAAGTCAACTGCCTATGAGAGATGGAGAGAGAGTGACTTTTCTGTATCTCTTTCCTAAGAGGTCTTCAAGACCATACTTGATCAGTGATCCTATTACAATTTGAACTAAGCCATTTTTTTTCTTGGTTTTCTTGTTTTGAGAGCACTATTTCCTAGTGGTTTAACTTGTAAGGGACTACAATAGAATTAATGAATGTATTAGAATTCTTGTGTCTAATATATGGTTTACTGGGGGAATGCTTATATCAGAAATCTGACCCACCAATGCAGGAATATAAGCAGAATTACTGGTAGTATCTTTCAATGTGTATCTTTCTTTTTTTTTTTTTTTT